GCGCGCGCGCGCGCGGTGCTTTCCGAAGGGTCCGCCAGGTGAGGGAGGCAACCTGTGGAACAACGGGTAGTGTCTCTTGATCACTTAGCATGCACTCTTAAAAATTTAAAATTTTTATCCCTTTCTTCCGGGCTGGCCCAAATAGCCATACCTATGACAGGGCCGTTACATATTATATTGCTTCCAGCCACTTCCGTCTCAGCAGAAACCATTCCTAATCAGTTAACAGATTCCCTGATGGAAGAGACTAGAAATGTCCCTGGCTATCCAAAGAACACACGTTATGGATCACACACACTCGCGCCTGTTTAAAATATTAGCTGTGAAAAATTTAAAGGATGTCTTTTCTGAAACAGTTAAAAATAGACCCTTTTATTGCATATTTTGAGAGTTGCTTTTTACTGCCTAAATGTGTGAACTTTGGAGATTGTGAGAATTTTATCCTGATAAGACATTTTCTAATTGAAGGTAACTTTTCCTTTGGCAATAAGAATTGTATTCTTATTCTTATTCTTATTTTTTTATTTACAACTGACCTGATTGCTGGAAGAAAGAGCACTTTTATTTATTTTTGAGACATTGTCTTCCTATGTAGTTCAGAATGGCATTGATCTTGCTAGCCCTTGCTGGCCTCAGATTCACACTGATCCTCCTGCCTCGGCCTCCTAAGTGCTGAAATAAGAGGTGTGCACCACCTTGCCTGGCAGAAAGCATTTTTAAAACATGTAGGATTACAGCAGACAAGACAGCACTTGGGGAACATTCTTTGCAGCCTGTTGCTGAAGGAACTGAGGAGTTGCTGTGTACACATTAGTGTGTATTTTTCCTATATTTAACTTTATGTTCATTGTAATTTCTGAAAATAAGCAGGTTTAAATTTAGAGTAGATTAAAAAAGCCCACACAAACACAGAAAGACCTATAAATAGTTTACTGAAATTATTAGAGCTGACTTTGGAATCAGTTTTGCTATGTCTAGTTAGTGGCATGGTTTTGCAAAAACACATACTTCCCATACTTTAGAGCTGTAAAGCAGTGCATCTCCCTTGCTTAGTCCCTGAGTGCTTCGTTTGTTGAGTAACTTACTTAATGATGAGGCGTGTGCTTAGTCAGATACTTAACATTCTGGTTACAGGCCATTTCCTTATCTTGTTCCAGGAAACGAGAGTCAAAGTATTACATATTAAAAAATCAGGTCTAGTTTAGGAAAGGCCCAGGTAAGGGTGAGGCATTTAGGGTGGAGACTGTGTTGGGATTTTTCACAGTATATCCATTAAACAGTTTTTCTGCTGAGAAAATTGTTATAAAAAAATAAGTTAGTATAGTATTTGAGGAATTTCAAAGGTTCTGTTTTTTTTTGTTTTTTTTTTTTTCCAAAGGTTCTGTTTTTATCCCAGGCCAATTTCTTCTGTGATACAGATACTATTCCTAATTTGTTTCCCGTTATGTATATTCTGAAAGCAGACTTCAGAACATGAGTTTTTCTTTTTCTTTTCCTTTTCCTTCCTTCCTTTCCCTCCCTCTTGTCTTCCTCCCTTCCTCCCTCCCTTTCTTTTCCTTTCCTTCCTCTTTCCTCCCCTCTTTGTTTCTTCTTTTCCCTTCCCTTCCCCTCCTTCCCTTCCTTCCCTCCCTTCCCTCTTCCTCCTTCCCTTTCCTCCCCTTTCTCCTCCCCCTCTCTCATCCCTCTCCCCTCTCTCCTTCCACATTTTAATCATGCTAACAAAAATGTCTAGGCAGACAAATCCAGTGGAAATGACAATAGTTGGGAGCATTTTAGAGGTTCACCTTCTGATTACTTGCTGCTTAGCCAAGTTTTTGTAAAACAATTTATTTCAATATTGTAACAGTATGTTGAAACAGAAGCCAAGGATGGAACTTCTGTGAGAGGCTTTAAATACTTATACTGATAAAACTGTTATAATGTTTACTAATTTAAAGTGTGGACTTTTTTTCTCCCTTTTTCTGTAATTCAGAGAGAGCTTTTTTTTTTTTTTTGCATATCAGAAATGCATTTTTATTTGAAAACAACTTAAATTTTTAGACAAATGATTTTAGTATATAAACTTGACTTTGTTTTTATATAGAGTATAAAGATTTCCATCATTAATTTTCCATATGAAGGGAATTATAGGCCGGAAGGAAAATATGTTCTGCACACAAGTGTGCATCTTTCATGTGCGGCACTGAAAATGAACAGTGTAGTGCTCCTACACATAAATTAGATCAAGTGACATTATACATGGGGGGAGGTTATTCTACATAATCTGATTGAAGAGGCAAACATGACACAGAAACTGTGCAAATAAGACCAAGTCAGAAAATTTAGTTAGGACACTGCAACTTATATGGGAAGGTCTGTGAGGCTGTAGTATATACATACCACATTAAAACAGCAAGGAAGAGCTATTTATAGAGAAAGGCTGGAATGAGAGATTTTCACTAAAGCAAATTAACTTGTCAACCGCCAAACAAAACTGTGCACATGAGTGTTACTATACTGAAGGCATGTTATACAGTTTCTGTGCAGCATGCTAAGGGGTAATTAGAACGTCTTCAGTGGTGCATATGAAACATGGATAGCCACATTTTTGCCTTTGCCAAATTTCAAGCATGTCTTATCTTAGATGGAGTATAGCTTTTATCTATTATTTCAACCTGTAAAAACATGTGACGACAACGTTCATTCTGTGCCAGAGGATGACCAGCGACCTTGTTTATAAATTGCTTCAGGCCTTGCTTCCTTTCCTCAATAAAATTGTCATCAAATATTCCATCATCTCCTCTAAAAGGAAGTTGCCGCAAAAATGCCTTCCCAGGGAGCGGGGGAACTACAACCTTGCTCTCTCTTTCTAATTCACTTCGGAGCCATTCAGAGTCGCTGTATCTTCTTCTAACAGTAGATTCCTTTAGTTTGAAAATGGGAAGATTTGTCCTCACTTAGTTAGCTCCATAGCTTGGAAAGGCACAGAGCAAGCTGCGTGGCTAGGCGGCCTCTGCGAAGTCTCCAGGACAAGGCCAGAGAGAGCTTTTAATGTGTTAAGTATTGTGAGCCTTCTAGAGAAGAATAGAATGTGTTTTACAAGTTATTATCTGGGAATTGAAACCAAGGCCTCTCACAAACCAGGCAAATACCTAGGACAGAGCTACTGCCTCTGCAGCCCTTTTTGAGATGGGATATTATCAAGTTTACCAGGTTGGCCTTGGCTTTTACATTCTCCTATCTCAGCTTTCCAAATACTGTTGGGGATTACAGGTATGTGCCACCCCCCCTGCTTTTCATAGACTTTACTGTTGTTTTTATAACATGGAGTTCATCAACCCTTCTGAGTTGATGCAGTATAAATGTGGAATTTTGTGAATGAGGTTTTATTCAGAAATAGTAAGGAAACCTAAAAGTATTCTGAAATGAATCTTTATTTTTCTTATTAAGTAGTTAATTTAGTTTTATAGTCTTGGAAGTAATTGAGGGATGTTGATACTAGCTGCTAGGATGTCATAAAATCAGTACTATTAACATATCCTTGGAAATCATTCCAGATATAAAGAAGTTTTAAGAGAAAATAATTACTTAATAAGCATTTCCATTAGTGGGTTTTCTGAGATGGGAGAATAGATCCTAGTAATGAGTAATGGAAGGAAGTTGCTAGGTTCTGCTAATGAACCATTCAGGGTGGGAAAGGAATTTACAGCCTACCAGTTTGGGGAGTTCTGCTCTTAAAGATTCACAAATAGGAAGATTAAAGTTCTCAGAATTTCTTAAGGTTTTAATCATGAAACCGTTCTTCACATTTCTGTTTAACATCCCACAAAATAGTTCTGTTTCTGGGGTTTAGAAATTTTTGACTATATTTGAGGTACTTAGAGAGTGTTAGAAGATACTATGGTTGCAGGAAGCGATGGCTTTATACTTGGGCACTTGGTCTTTTGGAGAGATGCCTAAAACAAGGACTTACCTTCAGGGCATTGCTGTCTGGTCTCAGGGAACAGCCTGAGCGCACATGCAGTAGCTGTCCGTTATGTTGTACCACACAGTCCATGTTCATCGCTGTGTTATGGACCACAGGTACACTGAGTGGAAAATCAGAGACTGGAGAGCTCTGGGCTTTGGTTATCAGGAATGTTCTCCTTGAGAAAGTATCAGTGGGTAGAGAATTAGCCTGACAGGAGAGATTAATCATCAGTTGTGACTGTTACTTGTCAGTGAGTGGAAGTGAAATTAAACTGAGAATTACCACTAGGAAGGTTAAAGGAAGAAATAGAAATTCCAGAAAGGAAGACCAGAATGCACTGGTTGGAGGCAAAAAATGTATTTAGGATATTGCCTTGGGTAGGTTACAAAAGTGGAAATAGACCATTTTTTTTTCTTTTTTCTTTTTTTGGTGGAGCCAGGGATTGAATTTAGGCCCTTGTGCTTGCCAGGGAAGCGCTTACTCCACTGAGCCATCTCCCTGGCCCTTTTTAAAAAAATTTTTGAGGGCTGGGTGGAACCCAGGATAGGCAGTGCTGTGTGATTCTCAATTTCAGCTCTAGGTCATTCATGTTTAATTTCACAAAGAGAAGTTTATTGGATTTGGTTATAAGAAATCATTGACAAGTTACATATATGAAAAGAGAAGTGCCTGAGTTTGTGTTGAGGTGGAGTGTGGTAACAATATTAGAAGAATATTCTGGGAATGAGGTCCTCTGGGAGCATTGAAAAGTTGAGGGGCTGGCGATGTCAGAGCACAGTTTCCCAAAGTGTAGAGGTACTCGGTCTGGTCTGCAGCGCTACAAAAAAAAGAAAAAGAAAAAAAGAAAAAAGCAAGAGACAGAGACAGAGGACAGGGACAGAGACAGAGACGAAGACAAAAAGGGAAGGGTGTGTTGAATTCTAAAGGTGTGGTTTCTGATCTACAAACTGAGAAGTTATTACAGTGTGTTTATTGCTTGACTCATGTTAGGCATTGTTTTCAAGTTGAATAAAAATTATTGTAGGTCATTGAATAATAAAAGTTAAACCTATAATAAAAGTCTCAAAAATAAAAGTTTCATATTTACAAAGTGGATAATCATTTATCAGGAGTTATAAGTAGGAGAGTAGTATATGGAATCTTTCTTTTGAGCTTCCAGGGGAGAATGAGAGAGGCACATAGGATACTACTCTGTCTATGACATGAAGATGGAGGCGTCCATTGTATGAACAGCTACCAAAATTGAGAGGAAGAGGTAAATGGGGATTTGCGAGTGGTGTGTATTTGAGAGTCTAAAGTAATTTATGAGAGAAGTTTGGAAATTATGTAAGTGATGAATTAACAGGATTGCCAGCAGTTGAGAGGGCCTATATAAAAGTGTGGTAAAATAGAGGAAATAAGTTCTACATGTGTCTCCTAGTTCAGTGTAGAAGTGAGTCTCAGCAATTAAGAGCACAGTTGGGCCCCATGGGTAAGAGTTGACAGACTGATAAAAAATTGTGGTCTAATGGAATGGTCA